TCATTCCATCATTCTCCATCATCATTACCGGAGCTCACCCGGCGGCGGAAACGGCTGCCACCCGGCGACGCCCGCGCCCCGCCTGGCCGTCCAGCCTGCGCGCTCCGCCGCGCGCCGCGGGCCCGGCTCGCCGAGACGTCCGGCTTAGGTCGGCGTTTGAGGCGCGGCGGGGGGCAACGTCTCTGTGCCCTGCTCCGGGTCCCCGCCACCTGCGGCCTCTTCTGCTGCCGCCACTGAGGAAAGCGGCTCTTCTTTGAAAAAGGCATCGGTCGGCGGTGATGCTGGCGGACCGGCGACCGCGTGCCGGGTGGCGGCGCGCCCCGTCGGCAGCGCGCCTCGGGAGGACACTGGTGACGAAGAATCTCCATCGCCGTCGGCACCAGTCGCGAGCGAGTCGCTGTTTAGTTGACCTACTACAGACTTTGTTGTGCCAAAAAGTGCGACTGTGGCCAGACTGGTATACGATTTGTCAGTGCTTACGCCCCTCTTGCGCTCTTTGCCGTCTATTGTGGATGCGTTAGAGTTATCGTTTTGGGGGTTTTATTCCGGTATCAAGATTGATTTAAAAGATGGATTTTATCACATTCTTCTCGCACGTTCCACACGTCCTTTTGGTGTTTTGTATGATGGTAAAACGTATATCTTTTCTCTGTAACCAATGGGCCCTAAAGTAGCTCCTTCGGAGATGCAGTACCTAGCAGATGCTTTCAGTGAACTTGTAAGAGTCGAGATTTAACGTCAGGTGTTTGGCGTATTTAGATGATTTTCTTTTTCTGTCCAAGGACGCTGAATGGCATCGCTGCGTTTCTCACTAGTGTTGGGTTGTGTATTAATTTCAATAAATCAGTTCACGTTCCGTCGCATGTACGTTTCTTGGTAAGTCGATTGACTTAGAGCGTGATTGTGCGCGTGTTCAGGATAATGCCTTGTCACTATTGCGGGATGGTTTGGCGGTGCTCGCCAGACTCGCCGCTCGTGTGGCGACAGCGACTCGCTGGTTTTGTTAATTTTGCGCGGCCGCTGCTGCGTCTGCCGCTGTAGATCGTTGCGGCGGTACGTGACGGGAACCGTTCTGCGTGCGCGGCTGCCGTGCCGTTTGTCTCGACCGTGACTGTTTAGGGGTATCGTTTGTCTCGACCGTGGCTGTTTGGGGGTATCGTGACGTCCTGGCATGGACTACACGGCACGACAGTGCGATTGTCGTTGATGCGACGCTTCCTTGTATCGGTATAGCTCGGCCGGTAAAGCGTCTGAGAACCAAGCTCAAGAATGCACGCTACCGTTCGCAGGCGGAGGAGATCGAGATCCAGAGAGCGTCGAAGAAACAGAAGCGTGCGTCCGGCGACGGACACAAGCGGAGCATGCCGCACTACCTACCGACCAACTCGGCGCCATCCATTGAAGTGGTTTGTTTGGTCTTCGGGTGCCTTTTCTCAGTGGAGAAAAGCTCGCTATATAGTGCGGGGCTTGCGGGCTGCATTACATTGTTTGCATTATTGTTTACATTGTTTGCATGTGTGCATTATTGTTTACATTGTTTGCATTACATTGTTTGCAAATGCGCATATACATTGTTTTGAGGGAGGACGGCGAAAGCAGCGAGAGTATTTGTGATGGTAGTGTGTAAGAGCTCTCGGAAGAGAACGAACGTCGGCCGTGTTGGTGGGTAAGAACTCTCGGATGAGAACGAAAGGTTAGAGAGGAGACCACGCAATGGTCTCTGAATAATCGAGCGAGCATTGTCTGTGGTCTCGGAGAGCGATTGATACATTGTGCGATAGTTCTTAGTCTCTTTTTTTAGATAATTTATCTCAGTGGAGAGTGATGGAGCAACAATAAATTCTCCACTGAGAACTTGGACTAGTCTCTGAGAACAATAGATGCTCTCATTGGTGAAAGTTCTCTAAGGAGACAAGATGGCTCCGAGATAAGTTAACCAATATTGCCTCGACTCCGGGTCTCCGAAAGTGTGGTGCTCAGCGGAGAACGCTTATGTTACTCCGAGAACCTTGGGAGGTCTCATCCGGCTCTGAGTGCAGCGGTTGCTCCCAAGCATATATCGACAACGATGCCAATAGAATGGCCACTGGCCAAACTTGTTGATCGAACTCATCGCGACTGGGATACAAAATTACCGTCAATATTGTCTATCGGACCGCAGTGAACGACAGCACAAAGTTCAGTCCTCTCTTTTTCCTTTATGGACGTGATCGTAACACCAAACACACGCTTTGTACAATCGGTGCATGCTATTGTGGCGCGGCGCGGATTATTTAGCTGCGGCGTGTCCGTCCAGCCCGGCCGCGCTTTGCGCCGCCAATCGCCGCCTCGCGCAGTGTTTATGTTATTTTTCATGAACGTTTGTTTTCCTCTTTTATATTATTGTAAATTCGTTAATATAGTCACTTGTGTTTTATAGTTTTCAACCGTATTTAATATCTGTCCTTGCTTTAATTTGCTGTAATTTCTAGATTGACTTTTCGCCATTTCCATATACTCGATTCGTTTTTGATTATGTAAAAGTGTTTTAATTTTTGGCTGTGTAGTTCCGTCCCCGTTGGTTTCCTGTTCTGACCTGTTCGTTTTTGATCTCTATGGTTTTTGGCATGTGCTTTCAGTTAAAATATAAATTTAGTATCTGTACGCAGAGTGTCAGAGAGGCTGAGCATTTCGACGAGTTCCTAGTTTTATTTCTCACGTTTTTCTCCCAGTTTAACCCATACCTAGGGGAAAGTGGGGTAAGACGGTCAGGGTAGGTAAGACGGGCACCCCTTCTGCAGACCAAACCAATAGCGCTACGAGCGAGAAAAATTAGGACCAGAATTGTCTTTCCCACTACACACCACCATTGAAGTTTGGTGATTTTGTGTTCAGTCGATAATCTTTTATTTTGATTTCTTTAAAACACTAATTTCATTGAAAACATCCATAATGTATTGTGCAAGTTTTTGTGTGCAGCACTATACAGCTAAAAACTCGCAATCACTTGTGGTACACTCATATGCCACCAGTGTTCATTTACCGCGGATTTGCTTTGTCTGCATCAAATTGTCCACAGAGAAAAATTGTGCTGAACTTCTTACATTGAGTTAGGGGTAAGACGGGCAACTATGAATCCAATGGGTCTGTAATGGTGAAAATATTTTTGTTGCTGTAGGAAAAAAAGAAGCATTTCTTATAAGAATATCTTCGATTCCGATACTCACAGACATGTTAGCAATATTCCTTCGGCACAGTTTATTCTCGAATGATGAATGTGAAAAACGGTTCTACATGACTTCTGATCTAGGGCCTATATACGAGCATACGCCTTCTGCACAAATCTTGTATACTGCCATTTCCGAGGCACTTGAGACCAACGAGCGACTGTATCAATGCAGCTAATTTCGGGCATTTGTTGCGAGCTGTACTGGTCGGTGAAAGAAGCTGGCCGTCTTGCCCTACCCATGTGACCGTCTTACCCCATGGGGTGGGGTAAGACGGGTTTTTGCAAGGTTTTGCAAAAATAGCTGCAGTTTATTTGTTGAATCAGGTCTAAGTCTCATCTTCTGGCAAATGGAAGTAAAATGTCTAAAAGAGGTTTTCACTCAGTTTCCCGTTTCTATGATGTTTCTAACCGGCCGAAAAATGGCTCCAAAGTTAAGGTGTCCGTCTTACCCCACTTTCCCCTATCTAACCATCGTTTCGCTGTTTATTTTGTTCTTTCATTGTGGGTAATTTCCTTTCCTCCGAAAACGCCCCTATTTACCCTGAGACCCACATTCTGGTCACCCCGACGCTCAGACGAAGCCAGACCGCTACCCTCTTCCACACCTGCACAGCCTGAGCACGCGTCTGCATGGGATGACGGTGTTCTCTAAAGTCGACCTCCTCCGGGCCTATCACCAGATCCCGATGGCTCGTGAAGACATCGAGAAGACGGCTGTTACCACTCCATTCGGCGCCTTCGAGTACCTGTATGTCCCTCTGGGATTGCGGAACAGTGGCGCCACGTTCCAGCGGGTGATGGATCAGCTGTTTCGCCAGATCCACTGTGTCTTCATCTACCTGGACGACATACTGATCTTCTCACCCGACAGAGACCAGCACGGCCGGGACCTGGATACAGTATTCAACATTCTCCACCAGCACCGCCTGCGGATCTCACTGGAGAAGTGCCGCTTCTCCAGCGGCCGCCGATGGTGAATCTTGCCAGGTACAAGTTTGTGATGATCGATCTGTTCCGCCGTTACCTGCGCGTCACCGATCGGAGGCACGGCGGTACGGAGCTGCAAGTTTATGTGCAAAAGGCAGCTCGACTAGTTCGTTGTGGTGTGTCAATACTCAATACCATAACGTCCTGTCATTCAATCCAGCGCGACAAAAACGGCTCGCTGAAGTTCTCCAACCTGGACAAAGAGAATAGGGCAAAAGCATTGTAGGCGATATATCTGAACAGAAAAGTCCGGCACACTCTCACGCCTTCCTCCAGGGCCGACCTGGTGGCCACTGGCCATTGCCATATAACGGTCCATAGAGCTATGGAAACAGCTCGACTCGGACGCCCCAGATCGGGACCAGCTTCAGGCGTCGGTGGTGATTTTCACTCGTCAGTTCAGAAAGTCTTTAACGTCGGACGAGGTACCTAATTATGCACACCTGCCCCCCATGCTCGTGCGGTACCTTGGGTCCCTTAAACACTTTCAGCAGCAGCGAGCGGAAGCCTGGACCACACGCTAAGTGTGAGTGTGCGCTCGGTGACCAGGCCGGCCCCTCACAAATGACTCAGGTCGTGCAGGCAGTGAACCGCTCACTGTGGTACAAATAGAAGTAGATGCGACAAGAAGAAAATGAATGCGACAGGGACGCTTTTGGTAGCATGGCCGTATCGGTGGCCTTGGCATGTTGGTGCGGTGTAGGTTACGGTGTTACAAATGCACAATATGAAATATCTGCAAGCAATGTCGTGATGTGTTTGCACTTCCGATCCCGCGACCCTCCTCCACCGCTTCCAGGCAGCAATGGGAGAAGACATCGCCCACGGCCACCCCGAGCTGCCGCCGGAGACGGTTACGTGTATGGTCCTGCTGCGCATCAGCGACTCCATCCAGCAGACCGGCAAGACGCTGGAAGACTTCGGCCTGCCGCCCGTGTCCGCTGAACACCGAGCAGCGGCCGCCGCCTCTGAGGGGCCGAGGAGCTGCGGCGCCTGCCTCCCATTATACGGGAGGAGGTCGACTTTGACCGTGCTGACCTTCAGCGCACCGTCGACCAGCGGCTGCCTGGCCTGCTACCAGCTCAGCGCCAGGCGGTCGACACGGTGCTGGCCGTGGTCGACGACCAGGAGCCGCTCGCCCTATTCTTGGAGGCGCCAGGTGGCACTGGGAAAACGTTCACCTTTAACCTGCTCCTCTCTGCAGTGCGAGCCAAGGGCCTGGTTGCACTCGCCGTCGAATTCAGTGGCATGGCCACCATGATGCTAGACAGCAGGAGGACATTTCACTCCCGCTTCAAAGCTCCTCTGCGACCGGACGACACCGCCATCTTTAACATCCCCGCCCAGAGCGAGCTCGCCCAGCTGATCCGGCTAGCGCGCCTCATCGTGATGGATGAGACTCCGATGGCGCACCGGCACCACATCGAGGGCCTCGACCGGACGCTGCGTGACCTGACGGGGTCCGATCAGCTGTTCGGCGGCAAGGTGGTGGTGCTGGGCGGCGACTTCCGGCAGGTCCTCCCAGTCGTCCGGCACGCCAACCAGGCAGGCATCGTGGACGCCAGTCTCCGCCGCTCGCCGCTGTGGCGTCAATTCCGAGTGCACCGGCTGCGGGAAAATATGCGCGCCAGACTGGCCACGCAAAACCCCGGCCGGGCCCGAAGTTGAGCCCAATGCTTGGCCTGTGAGCTCAAAACTTGCATCACTAGTGTTGTGGGTCGGCCGCCGCGCGCTGGCCCGGTGACCCAGATTTTGACTGATCAGCTGAGACTGATTCGTCTGCTGACCGTCCGGGGCGCTGTGTTCCCCCTTCTCGTGTCGAGCTGAGTGGTGGCGGGCGGGGAGTCTGAGTGACCAAAAGTTTTGAGCTGTCCAGAGTGTTCCCTGTGCTAGGTACCGTTAACTTCAATTAAGTTCTTGTAAAACGTCACACTAGCTTGTCAGTCAAGTCATCGTTCAAGTGTCACCTCACCTCATGTCACCTCATCCAGACATGCTCATGGGTATGATTTGACACAACTTACTGGTAGTTATTTGGTGTGAGTGTTTCTACTAGAGGCGCTCGAGCTGGTTTTGTGATCTGTTAATGTACATACACCCTCATTTTGCAGATTTTGTGGGTGATTGCCGGCTTTGAGTGCTCTGAACAAGCTGAGGAGCGCCTCATCGACTCCATCAAGGAATATACGTGGCTCTTCGACTGTAAACATCCTTCCTACAAAGATAAACATAAAAAACATAACTCATGGAGCTCGCGAGGCTGTTTGGAGATGGTGTTCATGGTATGTTCTAATGGTATACATATTTCTGTGTACACATTACCTACATACAGTCCTAGATCACAGTTGCATCATTGCAGGGAAATACAAGTTATACTTAGTTGATAAGTTGTTGATAGTTGTTGTTTCATGAGTTGTTTTGGGTACTGTGACTTGCTGTGAACTTCTCACCTCATATGTATTACTGTGTAGGAGCCTACCTAGCTCAAGCCCTTTTATGTTATGTGGTAAAATGTGACTGTAGTGTGACTACTTACGATATGCTTCCCAATGCACTCTGAAATAGCACAAGCAACTCAACGGTATGGCCACAAAACTTGACAGTATCACTGTCAATGAATTCACTTGTTACATTAATACGTCCACTGTTTGCAGCGCCTGAGGTGGAACGTCACGATCGTATCGGGCCTAGATATTTTTATATTTTTTCACTCTAGCCACGCTCAGCATACGATTACCATACGATCACCATTCGCTTACCATCCGCTCCGATCGGCTTCGGCAGTCAGTCAGAACCGGGCTTGACGTGTCAGCTCGATCGTCACAACCACGTCACGTTGCTATCTGAAACCTGGCTGCGCCCAACCACCCCCAACCGCCTCCTGGTCATTCGAGGATACAAGCCCAGTCGTGTAACTGTAGACCGCCCAAATGGCTGTGGTTATGGCGGTGTCGCTACCGTAAATAAGACTACTATAGTATCATGTCAAGGCCCAAAACGCCGACAATCCAATAAATTTTGGCTGAGTGAGTGGCGTGACCTAATCAATCCCTCCGGGTTCAAAATGTGCCAAAGCTGGACAAGCACAAACGCTAAAAAAACTCCAGGAACAGCTTGATTGACCTTGCACTTGGCACCTTTGCCCACTCGAGCATATCACCTCACGCTGGCACAGGAAGAAAGCAAGAATGTTACCTTCGGATATGCGCCAAGTGCAAGGGCGAAGGTTGTGGTTGCACGGCAAAACTGTGGATAACCGATGTGCCTAGCACTGGCACAGAAGCCGTTTTGCCGCATGTCCTTCGGAATGGAGTACCAAACCATGAAGGTCTTCCTGCAAGACAACGTCTGACAGGCCATCCATGAAAAAAGAGGCTGACGATGTCATAAACAGTGTCGCGTACAATGTGCGAAAGTATTTCCTTAACAAGAGGTCCGACGAAAACCTCCGTGGAGACGACTTTACCGAAGCGTCAAGTGCCGAGGTTCTTCGAAAAGCGGCATCAACTGAAGCAAAAAAGGGACGGTTAAGTAAGGAACTTCACGAAGACGTGGCTACCACTACGCTTGCAGATGGAGTTCTTGACATTCATTTAGAGAAACTCATTGGTGACTTTAGATGCACCAGTCCAGTGATCTGAAAGACAGCAACTGCAAGCACGATTTGAGGTGGCCTATTTTCGTAATGTGCCGCCCGTGCCCGAGGCAGCCAAAACTGTACAGATCGGTCAGAACCGAAAACGCGGTCGTCTTGCGAAGGCGAAACCCGCGTTTCAGCGACAGTGGACGACAGCAGCGTGTTCGCTGCTACGGTTGGGGTATCTACCATTGGGAAGCTTTTGAGTTCGTTTATCAGTTAAGAGGCTTATAGTAGCTATTTTTATTTACAAACAAGGCGCGTTAAAGACGAATACAGCCATCGCAACATTCAATGTTAAAGTATACTCCGATGGCCTTCGCCAGGACGTTGTTGTGTCAGAAAGCCCTAGACTAAGTTGGATAAGTTGCTCCTTGTAAAAGTCGTAAGGCATGTTCCTGGCAGCGGGGTTTTTATTTTGAATAGTCAAGAAGGCGCCTTTTGATCTTGATATATTAAGAATGTGCAGTTGCAAGAGCAGTTGTTGGGGCAATGAGCGCCAGTTCCGTCAGTGCTACCGCCAAATTCCATTCCCCCATCGCCGATACCGAAGGTAAAACCCACAGGTAAAACCGAAGCTTCCAAAAGACGTATGATGGCGAAATACGCAGGACTTTTGCATGCATCCATTGAGGAACAGGTAAAAGACCTTCTGGAAAGTGGTTTTGTTGGGGGAAAACCTGACAAGGCAAGGCGACGTAGGAAGTGATCAGATGTACACAGACGTCATCGATGGAGAGTTGTACAGGTCTCACAAACTGATAGGTAAAGGTGACCTTTCGTGTTTGCTATTGGCCTGGAACTTCGATGGCGTTCAGCTCCACAAAACATCAAACAAAACGATGTAACTAATTTTGGCTGTCGTCAACGAGCCTCGCCAAATGTCAGAAACGAGAAGATATTGGTAGGAGGTATTTGGTACGGCCCGCAAACACCGCTTTGGTCCACCTTCTTTCGCCCGCTCTTGGATGAACTGACAAAGCTCAGTACGGTTGGAATAAAGTGGTCGCTGGATTCAGAAGAGAGGGTCACCAAGGTGATCCTCTGCTAGCCTTGTGTGACTCGCCGCCCAGATGCATGGTGCAGGCGTTGCACCAGTTCAATGGTGCACCTGGATGCACGTGGTGCATTCAAAAAGGTGGCGTGGTCCATCGTGGTAATGGCTTTAGCAGGGTTTACCCTTACGAGCCTGGTGTACCTCTTCGGTCACATGACAGCGTACTACAATGTGGCCAAAAGGCAGCTCAAACGGTAGTCACGAGCTTGGCGTTGTTGGAGCATCCCGGCTGCTTGTTCTGCCCCCGCAAGCGCAGTTTGACATCGTCAAGTCGTTCCCGGTCGACTACATGCACTGTGTCCTCATTGGCGTCACAGAGCAGTTTCACGGTTTTTGGTTCGACTCCGTGAACTCCCAGGAGACCTTTCCATGCGGAGACATCAACGAGCGTTGGATTACGAGCTGGAGAACATTAAGCCTCCGCAGACGTGACCACACAGAGGCGCTGGAGGAGGCTGCCTTGAAACGGAAGGCGTCAGGTGGCGCGCCGCCCAGGCCCCCACAGCAGCTATCAAGCAGGGCGTTCCGCAAGCGCCAACAGTACCATCGAGGATCCGCTCACTTGTAATTGGTAGTATTGCGGTGGTGTGCCAGTGAGGCCTGCCCAGCCTGATCTGAGACGGTGGCGCGTTTGGACGCGGTGCTCCATGGCCGGCTGTGTCGCGGCACGGTTACCGACCTATGCAGTGCAATCCTAGCGGGTAATGGATGCAGAGTGCGAGACAGTTGTAATGTTTGCCCGAGCTGCTCCCTCGAGATGGCGATAAAAGTGTAGAGGGGGGGGGGGGGGGGACGCAGCCCGGCTGTGAATCCACGATTGTATGCTAGGACGTCGGTGGTGTGCATCCGAACTGTTTTATTTGGCACATGTGTTCCTGTTTGGCTGTTTGTTTTACTTGGCTTTGCGAGTTCCATTGCTAATCGCCACCCGCTAACGTGTGTCAATGAACGCGTACGACAAAAAAGGCGCTCATCTGTTTTCTTAACTGATCCAAGGATGCAGTGAAGTGGGAGAGTCGCAAGGTACATCGGCCGTTTTGCCTTATTTCAATTAGACTTACGGAAAAACCGGGCCGTGTGCGCCGTTTCGAGACGCAGCGGTTTGTGCCCGAAACCGTTGGACTCTCAGGTCAGGCAAGTGCCTCAAGGTAAGCTATACATCAGGGACGGACCCCACTCCCTCGACGTTCAACGCTGTAAAAAGCCGCACAAGAACGAGGGTTAACTTAAACACTAATCAAATTGGATGGGTCTCATTAAAAAAAAACTCGCTTGACCTTCCATCCTCGCTTTACCAACTAATCTTCGTCGAAAAGAGTCGAATGATCGTCGAAAAGAGTCGAATGATATTCGATAACTTATGGCCCGGCACTGGTTGCAACTGATACTGTGCCGCTTGATGTAGGTGTTGGGCGGCACAGCCTATCCACGCCCTGTGCTCAATTTCTTTCATCGGTGTCTATACGTTAAGTGCGGCACAAAATATACAACATATCAATATATGCTCATGGTTTGCAGTGGTGGCAACCTACGAGCAGAATCGGCAGCGCCGTATAAAGGAAGACTCTGAGCAGTATCTCACCGCAGCTGGGTGCTTCGCAATAAACGACGGCGCGATGAATGACCTGAAGGAGCGCCGTCGCAACTTCAGTAACTTTCAAGCGCTGCCTACAAACATCCGCCTCAATGAGGCAGTGGACTGACGCCAGTATGTGGAAAAATGTTTCCTTATAAATAAATATACTAGTTCACACTGTTTTTTATTGGAAAATATTTGCGCTTTGGCTGCATGAGAGGATTCATCGGGTTCAGACTTGCAGAAGGCCTCTGCAGTGTGTAACTTGTGGCGGTGCCCACCCGTCGGTCGCCTCTCTTTTTCAAGCACAGCGCAGCCTGCGCAACCTGGACATAAATGCAAGTCAGAAGAAGCAGGCCACATATCTTCGGACGTTGAAGAAGAACAAGTATGGAAAA